TGCCACACACRTATACTAAAGAAGTCACTGACACAAAACAGAAGTACGCCAAAATAATGCAAAACAATAACACACACAAACTGAAATTATTTTGTATCGCAACCAAACCAGTGCACTGCACCTCCCATTAATTTGTCCAGCTAACTCAAGCTAACTGAAAATTGGTGAACAAACTGCACCTATTCCACATCGAGTTAACTTTGTAAAAACATCCCTTCGGTCAGCTTTTAAAATATGATTTAATAATTTTCTTTTCTATAAACATCTTTAACTTTATGCTGATGGTGAAACAAGAAATAAATACTGCCTTTTCTTCAACATCCACAAATTTTATATTGTCAATGAAAACAATCTTATCTGTAAAATCGATGTGCTTAACATGTATCTTGTGCTTTTTTCTTCTATTTCTGTTTTTATCATCTCATTTTGGTTTAATTGTAACATAAATGTTTCCTTCCTGTGTTCGCCCCCAACACTGTTATATAAAAGTTGTTTTTTTTTGTTGCAACAACGCATTTATAATCTACATCCTTGTCATTGTGACATTGACTTTGCAGCTGATTTGAAACTTTTCCAAGTATTTTTAAAAATTTTTTAAATAAACGGATCAAACACACGTGTGCTGAACTAAACCTGACGTAACAAAGAAGTGCAGGGTGTATTTACGATCCGGGATACCGCTGAGGTTTGCTTCTGGAATGATTTCTTCTCTTCAGCCGTGGCTCCTCGCGCTGCGCCCGAGTGAAAATCCAGGTTTTCCGGCTTCCTCTGAACCTCATTAAACTCGGGGATAGTTTTACCTCACGCCTGCAGCGCTGAATGCCTTTACATCTTCACTCTTCAGGCGCAGCGCGTCTAATTCCCACACATTTTCAGTTCGACCGTCTCTTTTTCATAAGAGCAGTCATCGATCTTCATTTGTCACTTAACCTCCACCACGATGAGGACAGAGAGTGGAGTTGTGTGCGTGCGTGTGTGTGTGTGTGTGTTTGCGCAGATTAGTGTGTGTCTTTGATTTCCTGAAGGCCTCCTGGCTCCGACAGCACATGCAAATGAAAGTATGGGTGTAGCGGAGTGTGGGGTGCAGCAAATAAATCCACTGACTCCTTCAGTCAATGTCACCTGTTAATGACACTTTACATACGCTGCAGTATCGCAAGATCTGAATATTACACATTSCAACCCCCACCTCCACACACACACAAAATCCTCATATCCTTATGCTGCTCTGTGATGCACAGCGACACACACACACACACACATAAACACACAAACACGCCTCTCGTGTCATCTACAGACTTTTAACTTCAAATAACATGTTTTCGCCTCACAGCACTGCTTCACATCCTGACAAATGTCATTAAATTCTTTATCAGAAGCATCCCGATAAAACTAACACGGGCCTCGGCGTTCGCGCTCGCTCCTTACGTGACAGGTGCCGTGAGCTAAACTCCTGCCGAGGAGCACAATGGCAAATAGCGACAACAAAATGTATTAGCACTGCGCGGCGAGGAACTTTGTTCCTGTTCTGTCAAACCAACCAGAACGCTGCGAGCAGCGAGATCAGAGCGGGATAGAATTAGGAACATGGTTTCACATCCGCCGAAGGCCTCGTCCACCGTGAACCACCAAGGTACGTAGCTCCAACTGCAGCTCGCTCACAGACTAAATGCTAAGCGGYGGCGTGGGCAACTTTTGTTGTTGAGTTTACTCCAGAGAAGCCCAGGCAGGGGGGGACGTTAAGAAGCGAGTTGATGTCACCGAGGCAGCTTGCAGACTTGACACCTTGCTGAATTTGTCAGCAATAATCTGTGGACCCGTCACTGATCTGTCAGCTACCTGGATAATTAGGGACCCGGGCTAATGATGCCGTCAAGATAAAGAGAGGCCCCACCCCTCGAGTCGTAATTAAGAGCCTGCTTTTGGCATTAGMGGCACATTGGGGAGAGAAGAAGGCAGCCGTCGACGTTGGGGAAGAAGTGTCTGTTGAGCGTGGACAAACGCGGAGTGAGAATTTAATTCAACGTGTGAGCTAAACGCTAGCAGTGAATCATGAGAGTTCACCTAAACCTTAACATCAAGTTGCTGCCACTCCGCTCCTCACCTGCAACAAACCTACTTGCATCGGGATCCCAAACCATTCTAAAGAAACGCACCTCTGTGGTCCTCTTCCTCAGTCAGAATCACTTAATGCTGCTCAGGAGAGGTTATTAAACCATTTATTTATTTTTGAAAGCTAAAGCTTTTTTTTTTAAAACTCCCCAGGAACAACCTCAACAGTGTCACACTGTAATCACGCTGACACGCTGAATGATTAGTTGACAGATTCATTACTTAGAGTGACGATGCTTGATTTAAGATACTGCAGTTGGCAAACTAAAAGCAGGAGCAGACGTGCAGCGGCGACGCTGTTCATTTTCTAACAGCAATCAGAGYCGTGACCTCAGGAATATGAAGCTTTGGCTTCTCCCATCTGCTAATTAAACTACTGTAATTGCTGATTATCTGGTTGTAATACGCCATGATCCCATATTTAAACAATATGTTGCAGGAACAGGTAAAAGATGCCCACTTTTCTTTTTCTTTCCGGTCTTTTCTACACTTGTGGAGCAGGTTGTGTATTCAGCAGACATAAAAAAAGAATTATTAGTCTGTAAAACATCAAAAAGGCCTTGCAGACACAAGACTTGTGATTTTAAACAAAGAAGCGCAACAAAAGGAYGTTTTTGCACGACTTAATTAATAATCAAATTGTTGGTTAAATGTAAATTGTTTTTAATTACCTGCAGATCACTTCATTGTAAAACTGAGTGCACAGAATCAAAAGTAATGCCGCCACAGTCTCATTTTATCAACACTTTACTGCTCTTATCGTAAACTATGAAGGTCATTTTTACAAGCAGCTCCAGTTTGGTTTGTTTGCTCCGACTGTAATCTCTGTTTTTTTATTACCATTGTTACTTGATGTTAGTGCGTTCTTTAGAAGTCATTATTCAGGAAACACAAATGCACTACAGCAAAAGCAGACTAAAAACAACAACAATAAAAAAGGCTGGAAATGACAACAAATGACTGCAGCAAAAAAAAAAAAAAAAAGTCTGCTGCTCAAATTGCACTGCGCTGAATCCAACTGCCAAAACTAACAGATGCAGTAATGCGGTTCCAAATGAGAGAACACTGATGTATTGTCACTGGTCATAAAGTAGATAGGGTACAGCGCCATTACTGGGTCTAAAATCATCACTGTGACTGATGAAACGGAGCCCATTTGAAATGGCATACAAAGAGCTATTGAGAGCTCTTCTCCTCTCTGAGGTGCAGATGCAACGTTTAGTTTCAGAGCAGCAGCAATGTGACAAATCTGGGTTGTTGAAAATGTCTGCTAATATGGTGCAAAAAAAAAAATAGCCACTTAAAAGTTGCTGCAAGCAGGTTTGCTCGCATGAAATTAGCATAGGTGTTAAAAGTTTCTGGAAAAACAAGTTGACATCCCCCCCCCCATCCCCAACCCCCTTTGCTGCCCATGATGTATGTGTCWGTCAGGRGGAAAAGACAATTAGATCAATATTCAAAAAGATAAATCAACAACGGAGGCCGCCTCAGAGCTGAAATGGGTTGGAAAAATAGACAGAAAAGCTCATTTTCACCAAGCAGCCTTATTCTTCAAACACCTTCCTTTTCCATCCATCACGAAAGCCTCGCGTCAATTAGAAATTACAGCCCCCACCGAGTTCAAAGTCTCGCCGTCACAACCTTGATTAAGTCTGCTTAACCTCGCATTTCCACCGCCTGCTTAACATTCTACAGCTGTTTCATTCGGCTTTGGTCATTACTGCACGGACTTCAAAGGCACTTCTCTTCCTCGTCATTTTGGAAAATGTGTGTCAATCACGCACACATGCTCATATATATAT